CTCTATATAACATAAAAACATACACTTGATCTATTAGAAAAAGAAGATCAAGTTATAATGTCAAATCTCCCTTCATTTACTGATATTGCGGATGTTTTATTTTTGTAATACACCAGAGTTAATAAATGACTATTTTTGGAGACCTCTGTAGGAAAAATAAAGTTATTTATTTCTAAGGAACTTAGTTATCACCCTGTAGACTGTCCCATTTCTGAACTAAGGTCGCTTCTCATACGAAGACGCTTGCCGGGCGGAATAGAGTTTCCAATCCACATACTCAAGAAGACATTAGCAAACAATTGATACTCAGACCACGCATTGAACTGAAGATCAATGAAGCATTAAAAGTATATTTAGCATATTTTTTGTAAGTTTAAAAAAATACAGAAAAAAAATTATAATGAATTTCCTCGCATCATCGATATTCCCAATTAATTGTGTGTAAAAAATCTTGTGGTAACATACATTAGTATCAATCAATAGCCTTCTAATGTAACAAAGATATAATAAGGTCCAATGTTAATGGTTTCGAACTTACAAAAAATAGTTAGTACCTAAATATTATATTGAAATTTTCCTGTTTTTACGTGATAAAATTACAAAAATGCAATAAATAAGGAAAAGGTTTGTTGAAGTAAGGCATCGCTTATGCATCATTATCTGTGATGCAATGGTGATTTCAGTATGCCCACTATGTACAGTGCTACATACTAAAAAACCTGAAAATACTAACTAAATCTAAATTAAAAAATCTAATACCTACTCGAACTCCTAGCGAGCACTATATCCGAAACTCACGCGAGCGACTGCAGAACTATCGACACAGGTTTATTTTCACGCTTTATATGCAATCCAAGGTGAGTTGCATACAAGCAATTAAAGAAAAATATCAATAATCTGACTCAATATTTCTTAACCAACTGAAGTGCACCGCAGGAATACATTATGACGAAATAGAATACACAGTAGGCAAATATTAGTTTTTGCCTTTAATATTAGAAATTACAAAAGAAGTCATCGTAATAGGCAGAAGCTTAATCTATGTCAACAATAACACGACCTCACACGGCGCCGGTCGCGAAACTCGGCGCAGGCGCAGGTCAGCCCGCTTTCCCTGCACAATCATTGAACTTTAAGCTGGGCAGATCTAAAGATAAGATTAATAACTGTGAATTAATCAAATATGTTTCAATTTATTAAAGAAACACAATAAATGAAGCTGTCACATTGCGGTTAATAGGGATGTGAATAATTATTTCACTTTTACACAATCGTTACTCATGAAACTTCTGTTATTTAATTAGGTGTTCTAACTGTTCTGTAATATTAAATTACCATAGCGCCTGTCAAGTGTTTACTGTTCACAGTACTCATAACGATTGAATGAATCGGGCAAACTGCAGGCGCTTGGAGCGCAACACGACCTCGCTACAAAACGTTGACAATTACGATAATTCAAATAATTGGAGTACGCAAATAGCAAACCGCCGGAAATTATGAATAAGTCATTGGGTACATGGACAGGGACAGTCGTGAGGTGCGACCGTGTAAACATCCTTATCTATTCCATTTGAAGTCTGTATTGGATGTGGTTGAGCAACGTTTCGCAAAACGCTTCTGTGGTCGACAATACCATGACAAGCGGCGAAGACAAACACCTACCTTGTTATCTTATGAATAATGCCGATTATGTTGAGTAAACACACGCACACGCGACTCAGTGCATTTTTCACGAATCTTTATCGTATACAGTGTGTGTGAATTTTTTGAATTGGATTTTGTATATCATTATGGTTTTTTGAAAGAACTGTGTCGATATAAAGTAAGCTAAGTATACATTTCTATTTTTTATTCACTTTCGTACGTATTATCTCTAGACGGTCTTAGTATTGTATTTACCATATCATATCATATCCCAATCCCAATATCCCAGTCATCAGTTTGTGATCTTTGTAACCAACACCGTGGCCTGAATAATTTTAATGAAATCTGCGTGGACACAATAATCTTTTATTTAAATTATTATGGTCCAAATAAATGTTATTTCAGCACTTTCTTACAAAAAGGTTAATTATTTCTATCAATAATTGATAAAACGCCAATTCTGCCTTCAGATTTGCATGCGGTAACTACAAATAAACTCGAATTAAAACCTCTGAAGCTTAAATTATTCGTAAGTTTCACCCATTAATAAAACTTCCTATAAAGTTCATTATTACATAATTACGAAATGTCTATTGTTGTTTTCCGTGAACACACGCAGAATGATTTAGTTACAACCTGTGCGTGTGGCCGGCGGGCGGCGGCGCACGAGTCACCTAGATGTCCCGCCTATTGTCCACGCCGCGTCCACCGCTGGGTGAGCCGTCATTACCTCACACTTTCAATACTGGGTTACGAGAATTTTACTTCAAGGTCCTCGTTTAGGAGCAAATAGAGGAGGTATAAATGGAAAGACGAGCAACAATAGCTCACAGTTGGAGTTCAACAACTCGATCGAAAATGTATGCGTACATCTGTTTTGTAATGTGCTTCTTCGTCGGTACGTGCAGTGAAATTAATGAACTGTCAATACTTTTCTTCTAGTTGTTAGAAATCTAATGGTGACTTCTTTTTTTATAGGTAGCAGCATAGCCGACTACCCGCAAAGAGAAGCGTCCTACTACTCCGCCCCAAACAACCCATATTCAGTGGGGGTCAACCATAACTCAATTCAGGAACCATCTCAGCGACTTTTCTGGGGAAACACAGGCAGCAACCAAGTCGGAGGAACTGGACTATGGGCTACATTGACTAACAAGTTCCCGTTCCTGGGAAATATGTTCGGCCGCATGGAACTACCTGCACAGTACGGTGTGCCCAGTCAGTACGACGTGTCTCAACAGTACGGAGTTCCATCCAGGTTCCAGCCTCAATACTACTCTGGCCAGCAGCAGTTCTATCAGCAAGTACCTCAACAGTTCCCGCAACAATTCCATCAGCAATTCCCTCAACAGTTTCCTCAGCAAATCGGACAGCGATTCGTGCCATCAGCTCGCGACGTAGGAATAACTGACGATGCAGTGATAGTGACACCTCCGTTTGTGCCACCAGTGCAGCCCCCACAGTTCCCAGCGCCAGCTCCTGCACCAGCGCCGGCACCTGTGCCAGTGCCTGCTCCCCAGCCCTCACCGGACCAGGGGTACACGTACGACAGGCCCCAGTACAGGTTGGAATTGCCCCACAAATAAACCGATGCACTTTACTAACTGACTGACCGTAGACGCTAAGTAAATTTAGTCATTGCACTTTTTTGTTTAATTTACTGTCTGTGTTTTCTTTTGGTAAATATTTCATATTTACCCATGTGTGAAGAACAACGTGTACTTGCCAAATATTTTAATTATAAGTGCGACGCCTTGTCAGCTGCTTAAGTAAGATCTTACAAACAAAACTTGGTTAAAGATCATTAAACTCGGTCCAGTTCAGTTTTACGGGTCAAATCCAACAACTACGTACAAAACCATGCTACTTTAGTAATATACCTCTACAGTTAGTATTAAAAAATGTGTCACAGAAAGACATGGGTAGCGTATCTTACAAGATTTTTGGAAATCACAAATAAGAAGTGAGATTGTCAAAAGACTTATTCACAGTGTTAAGAGTTTTGGCCTTCCATCCAAGCCAAACTCCATTAGTATTCAATTGTTAAATGTCCTCTCGATCAAGTGTCTGATTGAATTTCTCTGTAACAATTATGTAAACAATCTAGTTTAAGCGAATCGACTACGGGTTTTATAATACTTCACTATCAATTGTAATGTGCTCTCTGAAAATCGAATGACACGAATTTTGTAAATGCAATAAAATAATTTAAATGATTTCATTTTTTTATTTACAACTTAAACCATCCTGAAACATGAATTAATATAAATTATTCCTATTTATTGCACATTAAAAAGCTTAAACAATAGTATACTGAAGTAACAAAGTAGGTACAATATTGGTAAACAATTTGTCATTTGTTATGAAAGACGTAGATAAATAGATAGTGTCCCATTATACAATTTGGTATTAACAACAATTGCGTAAGCTATAAGTTTAATACAGGTTTTGTTACTCATTTCTAATCTTCCGTAAGTCCATATATCTAAACATTATGGAGCCCCTTTTATCTAAAGATAAAACAGTGTTTTCGAACATTTACGACTATGTTTCCTTTAATCTAGTACAGATGTACTACTTTTTGAGACAAAAAAGTTCATTTATTTATCTAAATCATTACGTTATCTTTCTACAGTTTTGTAACTTTCAAATAATAAAATACGAGTAGGATTACAAATAGGATAACTTCAATTGTATTAGTTACTAGATTTACAACATGAGTCGACATAAGTCCCTTTACCGATCTATGATTTATTGACATTAAAATATCTTGCAATGACAACAAATATTTCCTATCTCATGAGTTATGTGATCTTCGGACAAAGATATGATCCCACCTTCTTAATTCTTCTTAAATACATGAGAGAAACATGTAAAATTGGTCAACCAAGAAACCTAATGTATCACAGTCTATGCGTAAAGGCTGATAAGAATTTTGTATGAAATTATCTTACGTTGACTCATGAGATTTTACATTTCAAAGTTTACTTTGACAATTTTCTCTCCTTACTCAGCCACACAAAACTACCAGTTCCTAATTGTCAATACTTCTGTAACGATTTTACCCATTACATTAAGGAAGCTCCTGGTGATACTAAAGCTAAGAGTCCATGAGACCTATCAACTACTATTGAGGAACCAGTGACTGGCATAAATCATAGCATTCATAACAATTCTATACTCATTAACATAACATAACAAAACCATCACACCTTTTATCCCCGATGGGGTAGACAGAGGTGCATATTATGGCACTTAATGCCAATGTACAATGTAACACCCACTTTTCACTATTTATAAGTCCCATGTAATAGGGGGTGAGCCTATTGCCATATACCGGGCACATTTCCAGACTCCATGCTACTATTGAGAATTTTCGAAAAAACCCAGTAATAGTTTGCCCCACCCGGGAAACGAACCGGAGACCCCTTGGCGTCTCTGGGAGTCGCACTTGCTACCACTTGACCAACAAAGCAGTCAAAGTTCAAACATTTACCTAACACCTTTAAATAAACCTGTACCTATAGCTTACGCAATGTTTCAATAAATGAGAGGAACTAATATTTAGTTGACTGAGGCTGTCTGGTCGTAGTAGCCTTGTCCATTGCTGTCCAGACCCACGGATGTGCTAGCGACCACTGACTTTCCCAACACCGGTCCATACTGACGCCGAGACATACCAGAGCTGAAAGGAGTATATCAAAATAATCACCTATGTTCGTAGGAGTTCCTGTACAAAATGTTATAGAAAAACAAGTTTTAGTATATATTCTGTTATATAAGGTTGTTCTACGAGATTGGCAGCCAATGACCAAACAGATCATCCGTTGCCCATGGACATCTGCAACTTCAAATATGGCTACAAGTATCCGCCCTTTTATAACACAGTACCTACCTATAATCTTTTGTTTCGTTTAAGTGCAAAAAACTAATGTTTTCTTTACAAGTACACCTTTCTTTTTCTTTTGCTAAGTTGTCACAATTTCCATGGAAAGTGGGAATTTTCTTTTTATTAAACAAAAGTGCCAAATTTTAATGAGTTCAGCTCAATCGCATTCTGGCCCACTGGTTTTTGTTACCACCGCGATCGATTTCACTTCTATCTTTCGAATTGAACATTATAGAATAGCCTAGCAGAACCAACACCCACTAATAATAATATAATAATAATAATACTTTTATTTCAGACCACTGTGTCCAAATTGTTAGTAACAATGTTCTTATAGACTAGTGTTAGTGATACTTAAAATTACCCACAACAAAACAAAATAAATGATTCATCCCAACAATCACTATTGCGCCATTCCGTGAGAAATGGCGGAACAATGACTGATGTAGACACAGTCCAGCCGACTCGCGATCATGTTGAGGACGCTGTTGGCGCTGCATCGCACTCTACGCACCAGAGATGCGCATCTCTTACGCATCGTAGCGTAGAAGCAGTCCACCCGATGTTCAGCAAACATCCCTGATGCACTACAGAATCGTCCCAGCCCCATCAGCATCCTAAACGCATTATTAAATTGAACTCGAAGGGCACCGTAAGACTTTTGTGTGTAGTCAGCCCACAGGCTGCACGTATAGAAGGAAGTGCAATAAGATCTAAACAGTGTAATTTTGACATCTGTCGAACAACGTGCAAACCTGCGAGCTATCATGTTCGCCCGCACTGCCAGCGCCCTTCGTTCCCTTTCAATGTCATCATTGTCCTCGAGGCCAGAGGTCAGCAAATGTCCCAAGTATTTAACTTTAGACACCCTACGCAAAGCTGTACCATTAAGCATAATACCAGGAAACACCCCACCCGTACTGTTTCCTCGGGCCTCGAAGACCATGACTTCACTTTTTATTGGATTATATTTTAATCCGTGTTCCTGGGCATATGCCCCACAGACAGTCAGCAGTCTCTTAATGCCACACACCGAGGCACTCAGCAGCACCATATCGTCGGCATAGCTTATGTTGTTTACGTTAATTCCGTCTATGTGACAACCCACCCGAGTGCTACAGAGTGCCACAGTCAGATCATTCATATACAGGTTGAATAGGGTTGGCGAGGACATGCCCCCCTGTCGCACCCCGCACTCCAACCTGTATGGTTGCGACATGGCTCCCGACCATCGCACGCAGTTGACCTGGCTTCCGTACCAGAACTTAAAGATGTTGATAATTTCCATCGGTAGGCTAGTGTTTTCTAACTTTTTCCATAGAAGATCGTAAGAAACCAGGTCAAAAGCCCTCGACAGATCAAGAAAGCATGCGTGAACTGCAGTTTGACGGCTCGTGTAGTATTTGACAGCATGCTTAACACACAATACCGCACTTTCACTAAGTTCTACTCCGCCAGATCTTGAACACTGTGATCTTTTTAGTCTTGAAAGTAGTTGAAAGCAATGGAATTGATTTTCTATTTATTTATGTATACATGTAGGTACATTTAACTTTCAGAAGAAACCACATTGTGGAAACGTTGGTATCTGCACGATAGCCCTTTGCGAATACTTAAAATTGCTATGAATATTTCATTGAATTCTATAAACATACAATGAGACCGATTTTAATAATGTAAGCAGACAGAGACGCGTATTTCCTTTTACAGTCAACTGCAAGAATGGATTCGTTATTCATTGTGAAAATAAGGCTCATGATGTCTAGTTCGGTACAGAGATGTTTTATTGCACCATAACAATGAAACGCATATGAGTTGAAAAACTATATTATAGGCATATCTATCATGAAGATTATGGCAATTCCTTTTATGTAGAAAAATTCCATAGTCCGGCAAAGGAAATACTGATTTAACGCCTTGCACTACTTGGAAATAGAACGAAATACTTGTTGATTGACAGCGCTTGTTACCAATAATTATTAAATTAAATTTAACAATACTAACGATAATTCAGTGCAACAATAAAAAAAAGTTATTTTACGAATTCGTAGTAATCTCGTAGCAGCTAACAGAGCGTCCAACGCGTTGATGTCTTTTGTATGCAGTTTTGTAAACATAATTAGTTACGAATTTTCTTGACAATGAATATTGGGACTGTCGTTAACTACAAATTTCGATAATAAGCACAAAATGTGACATTAAATAAGCACTATCCTGCCAAGTATTTTAATCCTGGAAGGGGTAAGCAGAGGTACATATTTAATATAGGTAATACCTAATTTTTACCAGTCGTGATAAGTATGTGATAATATAAGGCTTATTGTTTCTTTAATTCTATTCTTTTTTTGACTAATTCTGACCCAGGAATCGAACCTGAGATCCCATGGTCAGTAGTCGCACTCGCACTTGTGGCAATAATCAGTAAGTTACTTAAAGTTACTTAAAGTACTTAAAAAATAAATGATATTAATAAAAATGAAATTGCTTTAAACATTTATTAAGCTGTGTATTAATAATTATTAATTACAATAAATAGGAAAGAATCTTCCGGCAGTTGCACAGCGTGTGCGCAGGCGCAGAGCGCGGCGGGCGTGCAACTGGTGGAAAATACGCGTTCAGGATGGATGGGCCGACACCATGAAGTTAGTCTAGTTACTCACTGCCGCCAACTAATGCCTAGGAACACACAAAATAAAGAAGTTACTCACTCGTTATTATTATTATTATAACAGTACAGTGTCTAATTAAGTTATTGTTAGTTTAAATGAATTTATTGTAACACATGTCGTATGGAAAATAGTCAAATTATGCGTTATTTTTAGACTAAAAAAAACTTAATCAGACATGGAACTAGCCGTAATTATATAGAATTTAATAGTAAGTATGTGCAACGAAGCATCTAAAAATCTTGAATGCTGTCAAGAGGTATAGGACAGATAGTTCTCAAAATATCACCCAAGGTAACCTGAAATGAAACCTGAACTTGCCCAAGTTTCACGTGAAATGAAGAATCAATATTAATTATTTTATTTAATATTAGTTTTAATTAATTTGATGTATTTACTTGATATATTAAAAAGCTGAAGCGACTTTTTGTTTAACGCTAAATAATCTCCAGAACTAAATTACATTGATTATCTCACTGCTGGTTCGAATTGCATATTATTTAATACAGAATTAAAATACTTTTGCATTGAATACTCCATTTAAAGCTATATATTGTATCGGCTTATAAAACATCACGCTACGCAATAGGAGCCGAGCAGTGAACATCTTTGCGGCACTTGTTGTTCAGAAACTGTACCTTGAACCTCTCTGTACCGAAGCAACGCTTGCGTTGTGTTTCATCGTGTGAGTGAGGTTACCAGAGGCCCAATTACTCTCCCCTTCCCCAATCTCCCCAATTCCTGAATCCCCAACGCACTTGTAACGCCTCTGGTGTTCCAGGTGTCCATGGGCGACGCCGATTGCTTACCATCAGGTGATCCGTCTCCTCGTTTAGGTACCGGTTTATGCCATAAAAAAAAATAATATTTGTTGGTAAGAAATAATTGTTTTAAGTCATTGATGGTTTTACCTTAGCAGGGCAGGGTTAGAAGCGCCGTATTGTTGTGAAGGAAGATTCCAGCCGCCACTGCGAGCATTCGCATTCGCTTCAGCGTGTGCGTTACCTCCATCTGAAACATTCAAGAAGAGTATATTAGTACTTGTAGACATAGTAAGAACCAACCAGCCTACCGAGCGTGTAAAACCTTGTGCTTCTTTAAATTCAATCAAATATCAAGTATAACATAATAACGTCACGTGTTTCAATCCCTGAAGGGATAGGCATAGCTGGTAGAGGTGCATATATATTTATTATTACGGCTGCTTTTCATAAACTGCTTTGCTCCGTGTAATAAGATACGAGCCTATTATCATACAAATGTCTTAGTACGTAGTACTTTGAATCGTACTTTAGTCCTCTTGGCAATCGCATTTACGAACACTTCACCAACGAGTCAGTCTAAAATTAAGTATAATGAAACCGAACTGTCTACTTACAAATACATCAGTCACCTACTAATAACAGAGCAGAGCGACACAGAATCGTGTTATGGAAAGGGGAACAAGCACAAACGGATAAACAAAACCAGTTTAAACCGTCCTACAAATAAGTGGAGATCAATCAAAAAATTATGTGGGTTACAATAAGTATTAAACATTTTATGGGCGAACGGTAACTAGCAACTAGTCTACTTATACTTGGGCTACATATTCTGGACCCGTGAATGATGTTTATCGATCAGTTTTTGTGCGTGTGCCACTTGACCGATGCCAAGCTGTCGCTGAGAATTCCAACACCGTTAGACGAACGGCGCCTTCGACGTCTGCGCAGCCTCAACAGATTTACTCTACACTTTCATACAAGCTTATTTTTATTTATTTATCATTTCATGTACACCATACAGCAGACAATATTACAAACGACAACCCATTGCAAGCAAGAGGTACATAAGTACTGATAGAAACGAACTTCGCAAGAAATGAAGTGATGTTGATAAATACCTCTATATTTTAACCATGTTAAATGTTGGGTGTATCTACAGGTTAAACTTTCAACATAGTAACGTTACCTCTAAGACAAATGTTTGAGAAAATATTGAAGTCAGTTATAAAGTTTGACACATACACATTTAACTCACTCTAAAGCCATCAACAAACTAAATTACACCCTGCTAAGAATCCATCTTCATTTGTATGAAAAGGCGAACAGTGTGAATGCCCTAAGCTTAACACGTACCCGTTCTACATTCAACGACAATTATGTACCGTGTAACTACAGTACACTATGTATTGCCGCGCATACCAAGTCTAATAGTGCAGTCAGTGCATAACAATAGGCTAGGTACCGACAACTGACCCGCGTTGATATTTGGTTTCATGTTAAGTTAATCTATGCCTTATCGGATTTCACAAATCGATGTTGTATTTACTGTTGGCAATAGTTTTTGCATGGGTAAAATAATATTTAAAATATGTATATTCCATGTTATTATGGGTGTTTTGAAACTAGATACAGATTACAGATTGCAAGAGAATTTTAAAAACTTGTTTCTACTCTTAAAGTTGCGTTTACAAACATATAAACATTTAATTTATACGGAACGGTTCACTACTAACAATGTGTTTATCAGAATTTAATTAAAAGTTCAACTTTAATAAGCAGTATTATCTTAATTTGCATTCATAAATAAAACGTGCAAGGAAAATCCGTGACGTCACAATTACGGATACGCTAGCGTTGCGGTCTTCAATTTCGTGATTAACTTTATGATTTAACAATAAATCACAATTACTAGAAATACGTGACTAAGAAATATATGCTATGCAAAATTCAAGGATCGGAATTGAATGCGTTTAAGTGTAAAATCGAACCAATCATACGTTTATTTTGTCTACGATTATTTCTTTAAAGATCTTTATGTACATTTAATGTGTCGACCTTCACTTTAAATAGGTATTCATGTAAAACCTTCACTGGAAGTAAACATTGTATCTTCTTAATTATATCCGATTGTTCAAGAACAAGTACGTAACTAACTATGACTGATGTAATAGTTCTAGGTTACCTAAAGTTGGTTAAGAACTATTGTTTTTTCTGACCGTAAGCAAGACATTGCCGCATCCATTAAATATGTACTTTATTAAAAAGTTAAATACTGACTTTAATTTGCTACTTTATGCTAAATCCTATGCTAAATGTTTTTTATATGTATAGATTTGATGGGCTGACGATTGACCACTATCTGCCACTATCTTGTGGAAGCGATGATGTAGCCTCTGGTGGAGCACGTCTGCCCATAAAGGCCTTGAACACACCCAGTTTATAACCTTCAGGAAACACAGACTTTAGCAAAGAGTTATTTTTCGGTTACCCTATAATATTTTATTCCCTTAGTTTTTCAAGTAATTTTGTTTAATTACCTTTTCTCATTTTTTTTATCAATTTTAGCGCACAAAACACAAAAAAAACTACTACTGCTTTGCTAAAGGCTATCCGTACCTATGTTTTTTTTTTCTATATAATTTTAATATACACACAGTCATCAGTTGTGATTTTATTCTATGTAAAGATTTATTCGTGTATGTAGCCTTGGTGTACTGTTGTTCTGTGGTAAAGCGACTAACTGTTGTTATTTGCGTCTCTTATTTTATAGAAGTTTACAGAATTCGTCACGTATTTTCTTGTATTTTGCAGAAGTCTCAAGAGGCTGTACGTCTTTGAATTGCTAGAATAACATGCGATGAAATTAGAAGAGCACATACACACTACATAGGTAATTTTGTATCTAAGCACGTCAGACAACCACTCAAGATGAGAACAAGTCTTGCACTTGAACACTTAATAGCTCTATAGATAACCTCTTCAGATTTGAATAGGCTATTGAATTGATTGGTTTGATAACTACTTTTACTAGAAGAAATGATCAGAATTTCTTATATATTTTAAATATGCAAATTTAAAATTAGAATACTGTAGTTACATACCTTATTATCACATTGGTGTATGATATCTACCTGATCATATTTTAATTGTTTATGAATGTAAAATGTATGGGTATGCAGTTTTAATATCAACTAAAACTATTGTGCCTTAGTTACCAACAATGAACCGATGCAGGCATCAGCACCTTTTCTCTGTAATCTTTCATATGCATCACACGAACACCTTCGCTCATTATAATGCTGGCCATGTCTGCAAATTAATTTTATGACCGTGATCTAATTTAAAAACGTGTTCACAAATTTTACACATGCAGCACCGTGGGAATATACGTCATGTAACTATTTGTGAAACTGTATTATTATTAAATTGATCTACATTTACTGCCCGTATGTAATGTATTGACCGAGTGGTCGCAAATGCAACTGCCAGGCAAGAGGTCTCGGGTTCGATTCCCGAGACTGGCGAAGTACTATTGGGTTTTCAAATTTTAAATGGTGAAAAGTGGGTGTTACATTGTTGGCAGTAATGTGCGCCTCTGTCTATTGTGGATAAAAGGCGTGATGTTATGTTATGGTGATCTACATTTCAAAACACTGGTATGTCCTGTGACCAACTACTGAGAGTGGGCATTACCATCCTCTCAACCTTCGGCGATAGTAACTGCTAGGCTGTCTCCGAGTCAAGCTTGGAGATTTTATAAAATCCCCTTAAATAGGTCCTTTTAGGGCTTTGCTCATCAATGGAAGAATTCTGTCTGATGCAATCTGCCGTCTTTACCATAAGTGCATAACTCGGGGCCCATGCCCAGGGCCCCCCATCCTTAGGGGACTCCGAAGGACCGACAATTTCTACGACGGACCCATACCTGCTACCTGGGTTCGATTCCCGTACGGAGCAAATCTTTATGTGATCCCCAAATTATTGTTTTTCGGATCTGGGTGTCATGTGTATGTGAACTTGTATGTTACTCACGGTACAGAAGAAAATGTATGGTTCAATGTTAAAAAAAGAGACATTCTAAAAGGGGCCCCGAATTATTGTGTGTCCAAGGGCCTATTTTTTAAACGAGTGTGAAGTTAACTCTACATGCTACACGCGGTTAAATTCTAGGTTATTTTATTATGGGTTATTGCGTTGCTTGTTCAAGTCGAGCGCTTTTCCAGCTGCAAATTACTCTTGCGTATTTACTATTGTTGAAAGCCTTATAGCTGTGAGTGACCTAGTAAGTGCTCCTAGAGACTGGAATGCTATGTAAATATGTGTGTGTCAAACGTTAGAATTGGTATTCTGTGTAAACTTATATTAATATTTTACAGTTTAATATTTGTAATTGTGAAACTAATTTTTAGTTTATAATTGGTTTTAACGCTTGTCAATCAAACAAAATTAAAAAAAAAATCAAATGTCTGATGATATTTATATGTTATTGAAGTATTATAATAAAAATACTCACAGGATTCAGCGTTGGCGTTAGCAGTGGCATCAGCACTATAAGGGTAGGGCTGCAGCGACCGGCGCAGGCGACGCAGCGGCACATGTGCAGACTCATGACCCTCAGCGTCTATGGTGTAGTACGCGCGAGGAACATAGTACTGTCCTTCTGGAATGTGCACAATGCACATATATGTCACTCGTGCTCATGCTAGCAAATTCTTTATACATACAAGGTAGTTGGATGATACAATGAAACAATACTTGGTATTGTCCTGTCAGAATATAAGGAGCATAATGTATGAAATGGTATGGTAATATTCTAGTCAGTCAGTTCAGTCTTACTAATTCAATAACTTTATTATAAAAAAAAGAAACGAGTACTCAATAACAATTAAACGTGGTTATAAATGGATATTAAAAGCCCCAAGCAACATCGGAGTCGAAACATCCAATAGTTTTCTTATCAACACAGTTTCGATATCCAACTAAAAGATTTGCAAAATCTTAAACCTTGGTTACCTTAATTAACAATTAGCTAAAGGAAAAATATAGGTAATCATGTATCGGATAACCAGGAAGCCATTCACCTTAAAACTGAGATCATCACTAATCACCGTAGTTAAATGTTCGAGGCGTTTGCTTTTTATACATGACCTCAGCAAATCGTGACCAGCAGGATTTGATCATAGGTACATCGCTACTCATAATCGTGGAATATTATGTAAAAAATATGATGATATGATGTTTAAATAGTTCGAAGTAATTAACAATAGTTTAATCGAACTGCGAAGTACCAATGTATGTTACTAGTAGATATTGCTTACCTAATGTAATTCGATATGCATATCGCGAATTGATATCTAGCACCAATACATGACGATTGCACAAATGCTGAACACAATAAAATTTTTTCTGTTTACCTAAGTAAGAAAAAATATAAAAAACAGTTTTCTTATATGATACATAATACGAATATGATAGACACGGGTGAATATTGAAACTCATTATATCAAATTACATTCGTATGAAAGGTAATAAAACTTTTTGCAATGCACGAGCACAGCTCGCTGGATTACATATGTTATAGAGAAAAACGTACATAATAATATATGGAAAGCAAGCAAGGTATGTAAGTACCTAGTTACTGGTTTCAAGACTTGTACCTAATAAAGTATCGAGTATTCAATGGCATCATCACATACCTAAGTTTCTTCTGGTATTTTAAAATACAACTCTAATTATGAACATTATCTACATGGTCTTGATTATCATGTTGATGAATGAGGGGCCATCTCTGATATCTAATAATCATGTTTTACTTATAAGTTAACTTGTATCCTTCAGGATGTAAATGCATTGGAATGCACCATATCAATGCAATATGATCGCTGAAAAAGTGATTACTGAACATAGTACCTACTGACGATAGCGTTTACGGTTTATCTAATAATTATTTAACTAGTTAAGTACCTAGTACCTTGTACCTAGATACTTTTGAAGAAGTATGAAAGGAGTTCCTCACCTGCCAATCAGCGATAATTTCAGAGATGATCGACCCTGCTGATTCACAAAGACAACACATGAATCACCAAGGTAAATCCAATTACTGGCAAGATCACTGATCTCCCTCCGAAACTGATCGGAAATTACACAAAATGACACTTAGAAAAGTAAATTGCCAGTCAGCTCGGACGCTGGGGCGGTAAAAACTGGGGGGCACTAACCTGCGAGGGCCACGGCAAACACTGCCGCCAAGATGAACAAAGTAAGCTTATGCATTTTGTACGTGCACACTGTACAGACGTCGAACAACAACTGGCTTCACCGTACTCGCTCACACACCTATAAGGCTTATATATCGCGACAGTGGCAACGTCTCAGCGGAAACTCACGCGCATCTTGATGCACGGCCCGCAATAACGGTCAAAGCCGGCAAAAACGTATCATCAAATTGAATGGGAACCAAAAAATAGCCATTCACATCGACAAAAACATGGATTTTCAAAATGAAAGTAAAAAGCCTATTAGTTAAGTTTGGCATATAAAACTTTCCAAAAGGACTTATGTTTAAAAAAACAGTACCTAGTTCTGATGGCCTGCCCCTATCTGGACCCATAAAATTAACTCGTGTCACCATCTCGATATTTTTGCTAAAAAAACATGTTTTTAAAAAAAACAGTCTTAGGTTCGACAGTCCTCACAGACTGTCTGGTCAGGTTTGAATCCTTGGTTTGTCCAACCGGCACCATACCACAGAATAAGGAGCATTCTAAAGCGTGTGACCTGGATAATTTGCATAATGTGAAAGAAAGAAGCTCCTCAATTTTAAATTAGTTGACTGTCGCGGATGTTTGCAAGTTAATTAGATTACTAATTGGCACCTACACACTATACAGGTTCTAGACTAGGTACCTAATAAAACTTTCGTACGTTTCGACGTTATTACGATATTTTAACGGAACTGTTATCAATGACTATTCAAAGTATTACTGGTTTTTTTTTTAATCTCAGTAGTAGCACGGAGGAGTCTCTGGAATTGTGCCCGATATATAGCAATAGGCTCACCTCCTATTACATGGGACTCATAACATAAATAGTTAAAAGTGGGTGTTACATTGTACCTACAAGTGGCATTAGGTAAATGCCGTAATGTACATGTCCTACCTCTTCAGGGATATTAAAAAGGCCTGATGTTATATTGTGTTATCAACGATTAATTCACGATAAGATAGATAGATAACAATCTAGATATTTATTCTTAGCTTTTAACTTATTCTAATTCTTACTGCCTCGTTGGCCGAGTGGTCGCAAGTGCGACTGCCGGGCAAGGGGTCTCGGGTTCGATTCCCGGGACCGGGCAAAGTATTACTGGGTTTTTCTCAGTGGTAGCACGGAGTCTGGAACTGTGCCCGGTATATGGCAATAGGCTCACCCCCTATTACATGGGACTTATAACATAAATAGTGAAAAGTGGGTGTTACATTACAGTGGCATTAAGTGCCGTAATGTGCACCTCTGCCTACCCTTTCGGGGATAAAAGGCTTGATGTTATGTTATGTTCTAATTCTTACTTCCAAAGCTGTATTTTTTTCAGTTCTAGTTCAAAAGTTTAGACAGAAAACTACTTAAACTCCAACTACTTGCAGTTACCTATCACGCTACCACACAGTTAATATATTTTTTGATGTTTCTTAGAATTTAATTGTGTCGTCTCAATTTTCTAGTGTAGGTTACCTAGGCTAGGTATCTACAGAATCTAGAGCAGACAGTATTCTATCGTCTTTTTCGTGACCTCATAAACTAAAATTGTCATTCGGCAAATGCAATGCAGTGCTATGGCTACTCACACAGTTAGGGCAGTTAACAGTGAAATGTAACGAGATTTATTGCTCAAGGTACATTACATGTACCGGAGATTGTGGCCTAGTAAAGATGTTTATAAGTTTTTGTGTATGGTCAATCCCAAATCTTGATTGAAATAACAATATGAATGATGAAAAGAAAAGAATTAAAGGGGATCCTTGGTTATAGAGTTCAAACTAGACTTATAGAAAACATTTTAGCTTACCCTAAATCAAAATGACTAAATGCATTATTTCTACCCTAATTAAAGTTCTAGGCAATAATTCCCCTCCGTATGGTGATTTAGGCATAAGCTGTCTATCTTTAGGCATAATATTTTATTAATAAAGTGTTAATAGTAGGTGTGTGTATAAGAATTTTCTGTAAATAGAGTGTAAGGTACAATGAGGTTGACATATCGATGTGGATAAAAACACCTTACTTAATAAAGATTAAAAAAAACATATATGGCCCGTAAAGACGGTAAGAGACTGCGATACTTTCACATCAAACTAAATTTTTCGAAACAAGTTACAGATAAATCTGCAAAAATAAAAGCTTTAAGGAATTACTGAATAGCATCAAAGTCCACAGATTTAAATATTTAATTTGAAGAAAAATTTTTTTTTTTTTTTGTTTAATTACGTACTAGCCTTTTTTGAGGGGGAAAATCCTCTAATTACTTCTCCCACCCGAGTGAGGCGAGAGGGAGGATCAGACTCTTTCTGTCTAAAAACCACCCCGTTTCTACTGCTGCATTTCGAGTCCAAAACCCGGCAACCCATTAAGTCCTCCGCGGCTCCGTATAGGTATCAACCCTATTGGGCCCCATTTCTGGTGGTCTGATGACTCTTTGAGGCGCGCGCGGAACGCGACGCGCCATACGCTCGGGTTGCTCGAGCAAGGGTAGCTCGCCGTCCGCAGGCCCTAGTCCTAGGGGGACCTAGTCCTCCTCGCTCCGTACCATGGCCTAAACCAGAACCGGACGCGAGAGGTCGCCGTCGAACTACCCTGTGAGTACCTAAACGGGGCATAACTAGGAAAAAGTGGATGTTGACACCTCTACCTGCCCCTTCAGAGAACAGAAGGCGTAATGTAAGCAAGGATTTTCCGAGGCCAATCTTGATATTTAATACATTGCCAACAAATCTTATATGTTTTATATGATGTCATTTTTATGAATGGTTTTTACGAGACAAGTAGGTAATAAAATGTGAAATGTTCACGTCTCAATATTATAGTATTGTTATCTTACGACATTATTATTACGACGTTATACCGAACAATTGTTTACAGGTTGGAATCAATTAGCCGCGGCAAGTACAGTCAGAGGCGAAGGAAGAAGAAAAAGTTATTGAAAAAAGATGTCTACTCACTACCTATGTACCTACTTCGGTACTTTGGCACAAACGTCCTACATGCCAGTCAATAAAATCAATTTCATGGCTAGTTAAACGCTAACACGTAACACACTACCTATTGTATGCTAATAGTCAAAAAATATCAAAAAAATGGATTCGATTGATGCCATTCGAGTAGATGCAAATCTCCTAAACACACATCAAATTAACCTGGCACAAAAAACGGGGGAAAGTGGCTACTTCTCTCTGGTTATTTTTATAAGTGGCGATACAACAAATATTCATTATTATTATCTATCGATCGGTCGATACCTTAGTAAATTCCTAATATCGTAACCGTACTAAACTATTCGTAAATAACATTATTAGATAAATTTAATGTAGTGGACTTAACATGTAAACTCCTACTTACGATCCATAAACATTTATATCGAAGTACACTAAAGGTAAGTATTACCTGCAATTTTAATTAAAGTATCAATAAAATTATCAATTTACAAGATTTTTATGATTGTCAGTTAGTACTTATTGTTACTTGCATTGGTAATACATAAATAATACCAGTTAAACCCTATTTAAAGATTGGAAAACAAAGTTAAGGACAGAAGTCTCCCGTCTGTGGTCGGTAATACCACTAGTTTAGAACATTGTCGGAACCCTAGCCCTTTAACCGCCGACAACGTAAAATTACGGTTTTCGAAAGCTGTGTCCGAATCGCCACATACGTACAATCACGTTATTTTATTAAAAATCTTCTTATAGTGCACAAACTCCATATAAAATGTGTCAATTTCAAGATGTAGGGTATAATCTTTATTGTTATGGATATTTCTCAATGTTTTGAGTGATAAATACTGTGAAATTTGAGGTTTAATTAAATTGTGGTCACCGTCTCCATTATCTGTATCGCCAATCACGTAATTTTACGAGTACTAGGGATGGGGCGAATTCGAAAAATACTTAATAGGTTGTCTAAGAACAAACAAGGCACTATAGATATTACTGTCACTATTTGCAATGAAAGTGTATACTTTCATTAGAAAATAACCATAGTGTTACTTTGATGCAAGTATTTGTACTAATTAAAATGTATTTAAGTTTAAAATTATTTAATATTTATAACAATAATATAAAAATTTCATAACGCAGAACCGCACTAGTGCGGACAATCGCCGGTCGCCATCATCGTAATATTACGTGCGGCCAAGGAGATTATAGCGCTGTATTGTGAGTTGCCTTAGCGCCGTCACCGTAAAATCACGTTAAACATTTATCACTCAATGCAACTAGTGTTGTAAGCCCTTTTTTGGGTTTTTGTTATTTCTCAAATAAATCAACACAGTCAAAACCAAATGTGTCCATTATGCAAAGTTAGAAGATGGTGACGCAAAAGTTTTTGATCAGAGACCAAGTGATCCACGAAATGAATACTTTGCATCTTTAAAACCTTTTGAGCTGGAAACCGTACTGTCGGAAATCCGCTCAGAAGTTTACATGAAAATATTAAATTTAATAACGACATGCTCGTGGAGCATCGTCACCGTTCGCCAGCAGGAGAACGGACGATGCCGTGCCCATTTCCCGAATACACATTTTCGTATACTTCGTTTGAAGATTGAAAATTTTTAGATAATTTATTAAGGCATTGGCTGCCAATAAAAAACTGTTGAAGGCAAATCCTCCGCTAATGTCGGTCACCGGTGACTGCCATGGCGTTTAACGTGTTAAGTAGGTAAATAAAACATTGATTTTAATTTTTTAATTAATAAAGAATATATGCATCGATATTAAGTGTTCCCAACACTGTTCCAACTTATACCTAAAATGACGTGGCGCTGGAGGTAAGTTGAAAGTTCAGAATCTTGGCGGTTAAAGGGCTAGAGTGGAGAATAATATTGTAGAGGTACAGTTACTTATAATCGCAAGTTAACAGTTTACAAATAAATAAAGGAAGGAGAGGAGAAGAGTGAAGCCCAACACAAGTATTGTATAATAACTTACTGGGACTGCCACAATGTTAGACAAATATTGTAATTCTTGAGATAATAAACAACTTGAAAAAATAAATAGCAGCTTTGTTTAGCGATTTTATTTATTTAGTCCATGTCCATGATTTGAGCTATTTGCTCATGCAAGTACGTAGCTA